AATGGATGGCATTAGAGCAGATTATGCTAAGTGAAGCTAGCCAATCCCTAAAAAACAAATGCCAAATGTCTTCTTTGATATAAGGAGAGTAACTAAGAACAGAGTAGGGTCAAAGAGCATGAGAAGAAGATTAACATTAAACAGGGATGAGAGGTGGGAGGGAAAGGGAGAGAGAAGGGAAATTGCATGGAAATGGAAGGAGACCCTCAGAGTTATACAAAAGTACATACAAGAGGAAGTGAGGGGAAAGGGAAAAATAATACAAGGGGGACAAATGAATGCCAGTAGAGGGGGCAGAGAGAGAAAAGGGGAGGGGAGGGGAGGGGGGATAGTAGAGGATAGGAAAGGCAGCAGAACACAACAGACACTAGTATGGCAATATGTAAATCAATGGATGTGTAACTGATGTAATTCTGCAATCTGTATATGGGGTAAAAATGGGAGCTCATAACCCACTTGAATCAAAGTGTGAAATATGATATATCAAGAACTATGTAATGTTTTGAACAGCCAACAATAAAAAATTTAAAAAAAAAAAAAGAATGAAGGAAGAGCTAGAACCAGGAAAAAAAACCGAAAGGAAAAAAAAAAAAAAAGGATTCCCCAGCCTCTTTACAATTGGGGAATATAATCATGTGACTAAGTTCTGGTCAACTGTATGTGAGGAGAAATATTATAGGCAACTTCTAGGTGGTGCCCATTAAGGGCAGGGCATGTGTTTTATTTCCTCATCTCCCTCTTCCTGATGTTTCAAATGCAAATGATGAAAGAGACTGGACTAGCCATCTTGTGCCAAAGGACAGAAACTATATTGCTGGAAAAACAAAATGAAAGACGAGGTGTCTAACACGTTGCACCAGCATGTCAACCCCAGGTGGCAAACCATTATGAGAAAGAAACTAATTTCTCAGGAGGCTGAGACAGAAGGATCCCAAGTTTGAGGCCAGTCTCAGTTACTTACCAAGAACCTTAGCAATTTACTGAGACCCTGTCTCAAAAAAAATTAATTAAAAAAATTAAAAAGGACTGGGGATATGGTTCAATGGTAAAATGCCCCTGGGTTCAAACCCCAGTACCAAAAAGGGAAAAGGGAAGGGAAAAGGGAAGGGAAAAGGGAAGGGGAAGGGAAGGGAAGGGAGAAGGGAGAAGGGAGAAGGGAGAAGGGAGGCAGGAAGAAATTTAATTCTATATTATTTACATATGTCGACTTTCATTATAGCAATAAATTTATATTCTAACTAATCCAGTCACCAATACATCATAGTCAATTCTTGTTATCTGTGGTAGTTACATTCTATAGAGTCACCAAAAGGTGAATTCTGCATCATTGCAAAGGGGGAGAACAGAGGAATTTCCTGTGAGCCTAGGACTAGAGTCACAACCTTTTCATCATTGAACACTAAACCTTGTTTCATCTGTCTCTGCTTAAAGATATGTTATTTAATATATATTATTGATTTATTAACTGCACTTACAGACAACACTCCTATAGCTCATGCCTGAACAAAGCTCATTTAAAATATTTTTCTAGAAGGCACATCTAGACTTAATGCAGAAAGGAATTACTAGCTAGAAGTTTAACACTATATCTAGAAATCATTTTAAACAAAAATCACCATGAAAATACATAAAATTATGAAAAATGTGGCACTAAATAGACCCTTAAAGGATGTTTGTTTACAGTAAAGGAGCTGAAGGAAGAAGGCAGACTTATGACCTCAGCAGAAAAGTGTACTTGCAAAGACTCAGATTTTTTTGCAGCTTTGTACATATCCGCAAACCCCCCAGAATTCTGAATAAATAAAAAATAAAATAAGGCCCCAGATTTCTGAGAAAATTCTAATAAATGGGGAAATTCACAAATATGGAATCTGTAAATAATAAGAATCAACTATATTTGGGGAGTTCATGTGAAAAATTGGGTGGTTCTAAAAGTCACTTCCTCAGTATCCTACTCAGCTTTTAGTACCCAAAATAACCCACCTATTTTTCCATTAACACTTTTTGTTTCTCTGCTTATCCTACTCAGCTTTTAGTACCCAAAATAACCCACCTATTTTTCCATTAACACTTTTTGTTTCTCTGCTGGATTTCTTAATTTCTCTTTAGTAGTTGCAAAGGTTTTTATTGGTTTTTTTGATATTGATGGGATTTTTTTTGTTTTTGTTTTTGTTTTGGGGGGCATATATAGTATAACATTCCTATAGGAGAAAGATGAAATGACAGAGAATATTCTTCCTAAGTTTCTTTAACAATTTAGTAAAACATCAAATGATCTCAATGGTATAGTAGATTCAAAATAATATTTTTTTTTCTCTCTTGATATTTAGTTGAAAACAGTTTCTTCATTGCTTAAGTCAAAAAATTTTGTATGGATTGCTGGTAATATCATTGCTTGCCAGTACAAGATAAGAAACTGAAAGAGTGTTTTCTGAGCCAGAATCAATTGGGAGGAAAAAGTGGAATATAAAATGCCTATTCACAGGCAGAATTAATATTGTCAAAATGACCATACTACTAAAAGCACTATACAGATTTAATGCAATTCCAATCAAAATCCCAATGGCATTCAACATAGAAACAGAAAAAGCAATCATGAAATTCATCCGGAAAAATATGAGACCCAAAATAGCCAAAGCAATCCTTATCAAGAAGAAAGAACCAGGTGACATCAATATATCAGTCCTTACATTTATATTACAGAGTAATAGTAACAAAAATAGAATGGTATTGGCACCAACAAAGACTTGTAGACCAATGGTACAGAATAGAGGACACAGAGACAAACCCACATAAATATACATTATCTCATACTAGACAAAGGAGCCAAAAACATATATTGGAGAAAAGATAGACTCTTCAACAAATGGTGCTGAGGAAACTGGAAATCCATACAAAACAAAATTCATCATGCACAAAATTCAATTCAAAGTGGATCAAGGACCTAGGAATTAGACCAGAGACCCTGCACCTAATAGAAGAAAAAGTAGGCCCTAATCTTCATCATGTCAGATTAGGTCCTGACTTCCTTAACAAGACTCCAATAGCACAAGAAATAAAATCAAGAATCAATAAATCAAACTGAAAAGCTTCTTCTCAGCAAAAGAAACAATCAGTGAAGTGAAGAGAGAGCCTACAGAATGGGAGCAAATTTTACCACATGCATATCAGATAGAGCACTAATCTCCAGGATATATAAAGAACTCAAAAACTTAACACCAAAAAAAGAAATAACCCAATCAATAAATGGGATAAGGAACTGAACACTCTCAGAAGAAGTATATAATCGATCAACAAATATATGAAAAAATATTCAACCTCTCTAGCAATTAAAGAATGCAAATTAACTACTCTAAGATTTCATCTCACTCCACTCAGAATGGCAGCTATTAAGAATAGAAACAACAATAACTGTTGGCGAGGATGTGGAGAAAAAGACACACTGATACATTGCTGGTGGAGTTGCATCTGGAAAGCAGTATGGAGATTTCTTGGAAAACCTGGAATTTGACCCAGCTATCCCACTCCTCAATGTATACCCAAAGGACTTAAAAATAGTACACTACAAGGATGCAGCCACATCAATATTTATAGCAGCACAATTCACAATAACTAAACTGTGGAACCAACCTAGATGCCCTTCAATAGACGAATGGATAAAGAAACTGTGGTATATATACACAATGGAATATTATTCAGCGTTAAAAGAGAATAAAATCATAGCATTTGCAGGTAAATGGATGGAGCTGGAGACTATCATGCTAAGTGAAGAAAGCCAATGCTAAAAAAACAAAGACTGAATGTTTTCTCTGATAAGTGGATGCTGAGTCATAATGGGGGTGGGGGGAGATTATGGGAGGAATGGAGGAACTTTAGATAGGGCAAAGGGTAGGGAGGGGGCATGGGGATAGGAAAGATGGTGGAAAGAGATGGACATCATTACCGTAGGTACATTTATGAAGATACAAATGGTGTGACTACTTTGTGTACAACCAGAGAAGTGAAAAATCCTGCTCCACTTGTGTATAATGATTGAAGTGCATTCTGCTGTCATATATAACTGATTAGAATAAATAAATAAACTTGAAAAAAGAATAAAATGCCTATTCAAAAAGTGTGAGGATGCTTCTCAGCTCTTAAAATCCCAGTCTGACTTCTGAGACCATAAACCTAAGCAGAATTAATATCTATGAAAATTAATTAGAGGGGCTGGGGATGTGGCTCAAGCGGTAGCGCGCTCCCCTGGCAGGCGTGCGGCCCGAGTTCGATCCTCAGCACCACATACAAACAAATATGTTGTGTCTGCCGAGAACTAAAAAATGTAAATAAAATATATTAAAAAAAAGAAAATTAATTAGAATTAAAGAGTTGACTATACTTACAAACTAAAAATCATGTCCCAATTAATGATGGTTGAATGTGATGATCATTATTATCCAAAGTAGATGTATGAAGACATGAATTGGTATGAGTGTTATTATGTAAACAACCAGAGATATAAAAAATTGAGCTCTATATATATAATAAGAATTGTAATGCATTCTACTGTTTTATATAAATAAAAATAAATAAGATTTTTAAAAAAGAGTAGACTATATTTGCAAACTAAAAATCATGTCTCAGCTAATGTAATAAGAAAGCTCATAACCCACTTGAATCAAAGTGTGAAATATGATATATCAAGAACTATGTAATGTTTTGAACAGCCAACAATAAACAAAAAAGAAATCATCTTGATTTATGTAACACTGAATCATTTCACTGTATAAGCTACAAAAGAAAATCTTAATTCTACATTAGTAGAAAACCAATGGTTGACAATATGTGAAAATTGTAACTGATATTCACTATAAATATTAAGTAAATCCAAAAAGATGACTTGTCCAAGTATACTGGATAATGAAGAAACAGTACAGTGAAAAACGGGGCCAAGTATTAGTCAAAATTTCAAGTTTGACACTGTCCTTTCGTAATGCTACTACAATTAAATTCGAACTCACCCATTGTATCAACTCCTTTCCTGCCAGCACGACCAACCATCTGCTTGTAAGTAAGAATATCTAGAGGTCGACCACTGAAAATAGGAGTCCGAATAATCACACGACGTGCAGGTAAATTCACCCCAGAAGAAAGAGTAGAAGTTGCTGCCAAGACTCGAATGAGACCTTGACGGAAGGCTCCTTCAATGATATCCCTCTCCTCAAAAGTAAGCCCTGAAAAGAAAAGGGGGTTCCAGAAACATATTTATTAACATATAATGAAGCTATAGTTGATAACTTATAAACAATGTGAGGATTTGCTACAAGACCCCAAAGATTTTCTTTAGCTATTGTTACAACAACAGAAAAATCATCAGTCTATTTATTTAAGCGCATAATCTGCCACCCCTACTATATCTTCTAGATCTGGGGTCAACAAATTTTTCCTTTTTTTTAGATTTTGCAGAATAGGTAAACTCTGTTGTAACTATTCTACCCTGCCACTGTCACATAAAAACAGACACAGAATAGGCATGATAGTGTTCCAATAAAACTTAAAAAAAAAAACAAAAAAAACAGATGGCAAGCTAAATTTATAGCATACTACAGTTTCCCAATCCCTATTCTTTTGGGTGTTCTTTTAAATTTATTTTAAAATAAATTTTAAATTTTAGAAAATTTAAATAAATTTGGTAGATTTACTAAAATTTATTTTAAATTTTGTATCATGATATATACATAGGTGTATTATACATACTGTATACATCATGATTAAAAATCACATAACTGTTACCATTTTATATATATATACTGATAAACATTTAAAATAAGTTAAAAAGGTTAAATTCTCAATCGTAGAAACTATATATTTTTTATCAGATCCTTAGCACATATGATCATGGATAGAACACTTCCTGAAAAAAAGTTATTTAATTCAATGACTGCCATAATCTCTGATTTTAAGCATTCTAGCCCTCTCCAAATGCAATATCACAATTTCTAAAATAAATTTGATTTTGATATCTCTGAGAATATTTCGTACTCTTGAGATAAAAAGATACATTCAGATGGCATAAAAGTAGCAAGCATACTCTAAATTTTAAGGAAACAGTACAGAAACATAATAATTTTAGAATTTACTTCCCCAATGATTCAAAAAAGCCTTTATATAGTACTATACACTACATAGATAAGTAAACTTGAACATGTTTATTTTATTCTTGTTTAACTTAATTATGCAATTTCTTAAAATGAGATACAAGAATATTGAGATTAAAAAATATTTCTTGTTAATTAGATATGTCTTGTTAATTAATAAGTGAACATAAATATCAAAATGAAGAAATTTGAGAATTTTTAGAGAAGGTTTCTAGATAACAGATCGTAAATATGGAATACCTGCATGATGAAATGCTACTCCCCATGGGACAGTATTCTGTAATACAAAGTCCAATCCCGAAGGTGAACGTTTTAACTGATCCATTACTTCCAGGAGCGCTTTTTGTTCCAGAATCACTGGTGGAAATTCAGATGGTTTTACCAATCCTGTCACAAACACACACACAAAATAAACATCTCAACACTGTTTACCTCTTGGAGTGTTATCTCCCTAAGTCATGAGAGAGTTAAATACTAGGGAATGGGTCAAAAACTGTTGCATACTATAAAGATCTGGGGATCTTTTAAAACTACTGACCCCTGGATACTGTGATGTGATTGATATAGGGTGTGACCTGCACATAAGGAATCTTTAATTCTTCCCAGGTTATTTTAAATGGGCACAAAAGTTTAGGAAACTCGGCATTAGAGTGATCCCAAGTCCATCAGTGTGTATGTTGGGGGGGTGAGGGTGAGGGGTCAAAGGAACCTGTTGAAGGAAGGAGATGATTACAGATACTAACTACCATTCAAAGCCCCAAATTCAAAACCCTTGCTCAGTGTTTGTCCAACCAATCAGCAGTATCAGCACCACCTAGGAGTCTTGTTCTCTATGAGAAGTATTCCAGCCTAATAAAAAATAACCAATCACACAATACCTGCTGACTTTGCTCTATGTAACCCTCTACCCCAGTAAGACTTTAACTGTCTTCAGTGCAGAAAACATTATTTCATTTTTTGGTTTTTTCCACATTTTTTTCTACTGGTGCATTATAGTTGTAAATATTGATGAGATTTGTATTTACATATTCACACATGCACAAAATATAAGAATATGATTTGGCCAATATCACTCCTAGCACTTCCCCCCTCCCACCTCCCATCCCTTGGTCACTTTTCTCTACTGATTTTCCTTTGCTTTTAATGAAATCCACCCCAACCTTTGTTTTCCTTTTTTCTACTCTAGCTTCTGCATGTGAGAGAAAACATGACTCTTAACCTTCTGAGTTTAACTTAATTTGCTTAACATGATGGCTTCTAGTTCCATCCATTTTCCTGCAAATGATATAATTTCATTTTTCTTTATGGCTGAATAAAACTCCATTGTTTGTATAGACCACATTTTCTTTCTCCGTTATCTGTTTTGATTGACACCTAGGGCTGGTTTCATAGTTTAGCTGTTGTGAATTATGCTACTACAAACATGGGTAGGGATGTATCATTGCAGTAAGATGACTTTAATTCTTCAGGATAAATACTGAGAAGTGGTTAAAGCTGGGTTACATGGTGGTTCCATGCCTAAGCTTTTGAGAAGCCTCCACACTGATTTCCACAGTGGTTTGTACTAATATATAGTTCAACCAACAGTGTAAAAGTGTACCTTTCTCGCCACATTCTCTCCAGCATTTATTATTGGTATTTTTTTTATTGTTTCTTTTTTTTTATTGGTTGTTCAAAACATTGCAATGCTCTTGATATATCATATTTCATACATTTGATTCAAGTGGGTTATGAACTCCCATTTTTACCACATGTACAGATTGCAGAATCACATCGGTTACACATCCACGTTTATACATACTGCCATACTAGTGTCTGCTGTATTTTGCTGCCTTTCCTATCCCCTACTATCCCCCCTTCTCTCCCCTCCCATCTTCTCTCTCTACCTCATCTATTGTAATTCATTTCTCTCTCTTGTTTTTTCCCCTTTCCCCTCACATCCTCTTATATGTAATTTTGCATAACAGTGAGGGTCTCCTTCCATTTCCATGCAATTCCCCTTCTCTCTCCCTTTCCCTCCCACCTCTCCTCCCTGTTTAATGGTAATCTTCTTCTCATGCTCTTCCTCCCTGCTCTGTTTTGAGTTGCCCTCCTTATATCAAAGAAGACAATCAGCATTTGTTTTTTAGGGATTGGCTAGCTTCACTTAACATAAATGCTGTAATGCCATCCATTTCCCTGCAAATGCCATGATTTTGTTATTTTTTAGTGCTGAGTAATATTCCATTGTGTATAAATGCCACATTTTTTTTTATCCATTCATCTATTGAAGGGCATCTAGGTTGGTTCCACAGTCTAGCTATTGTGAATTGTGCTGCTATGAACATCGATGTAGCTGTATCCCTATAGTACGCTCTTTTTAGGTCTTTGGGGAATAGTCCAAGAAGGGTTCCATCCCAGCTTTCCAAGGAATCTCCATACTGCTTTCCAGATTGGCTGCACCAATTTGCAGTACCACTAGCAATGTATAAGTGTACCCTTTTCCCCACATCCTCGCCAGCACTTGTTGTTGTTTGACTTCATAATGGCTGCCAATCTTACTGGAGTGAGATGGTATCTTAGGGTGGTTTTAATTTGCATTTCTCTGACTGCTAGAGATGGTGAGCATTTTTCATGTATTTGTTGATTAATTGTATATCCTTCTCTGAGAAGTGTCTGTTCAGGTCCTTGGCCCATTTGTTGATTGGTTATTTGTTTTCTTATTGTTTAATTTTTTGAGTTCTTTGTATACTCTGGATATTAGGGCTCTATCTGAAGTGTGAGGAGTAAAAATTTGTTCCCAGGATGTAGGCTCCCTATTTACCTCTCTTATTGTTTCTCTTGCTGAGAAAAAAAAAATTTTAGTTTGAGATTGTCCCATTTGTTGATTCTTGTTTTTAACTCTTGTGCTATAGGTGTCCTATTAAGGAATTTGGAGCCTGACCCCACGAGATAGAGATTAGAGCCAACTTTTCCTTTTATCAGACGCAGTATTTCTGGTTTGATATCAAGCTCCTTGATCCATTTTGAGTTAACTTTTGTGCATAGCGAGAGAAAGGGATTCAGTTTCATTTTGTTGCATATGGATTTCCAGTTTTCCCAGCACCATTTGTTGAAGATGCTATCCTTTCTCCACTGCATGCTTTTAGCACCTTTGTCTAATATAAGGTAGTTGTAATTTTGTGGATTGGTCTCTGTGTCCTCTGTTCTGTACCATTGGTCCACCCACCTGTTTGGTACCAGTACCATGCTGTTTTTGTTACTATTGCTGTGTAGTATAGTTTGAAGTCTAGTATCGCTATACCGCCTGTTTCACTCTTCCTGCTTAGAATTGCTTTTGCTATTCTGGGTCTTTTATTTTTCCAGATGAATTTCATGATTGCTTTATCTATTTCTACAAGAAATGCTGTTGGGATTTTGATTGGCATTGTATTAAACCTATAGAGTACTTTTGGTAATATCGCCATCTTGATGATATTACTTCTGCCTATCCATGAACAGGGTATATTTTTCCATCTTCTAAGATCTTCTTCTATTTCTCTCTTTAGGGTTCTGTAGTTTTCATTGTATAAATCTTTCACCTCTTTTGTTAGGTTAATTCCCAAGTATTTTTTTTTTTTTGAGGATATTGTGAATGGGGTGGTTGTCCTCATTTCCATTTCAGAAGATTTGTCACTGATATACAGGAATGCCTTTGATTTATGCGTGTTGATTTTATATCCTGCCACTTTGCTGAATTTATTTACTAGCTCTAGAAGTTTCTTTGTAGAACCTTTTGGGTCTTCTAGGTATAGGATCATGTCATTTGCAAATAGTGCCAATTTTCTTTTCCTATCTTTATGCCTTTAATTTCTTTCGTCTAATTGCTCTGGCCAGTGTTTCAAGAACTATGTTGAATAGAAGTGGTGAGAGAGGGCATCCCTGTCTTGTTCCAGATTTTAGAGGGAATGCCTTCAATTTTTCTCCGTTTAGAATGATGCTAGCCTGAGGCTTAGCATAGATAGCTTTTACAATGTTGAGGTAAGTTCCTGTTATCCCTACTTTTTCTAGTGTTTTGAACATAGAGGGATGCTGTTCTTTGTCAAATGCTTTTTTTGCGTCTATCGAGATGATCTTATGGTTCTTATCTTTAAGTCTATTGATGTGGTGAATTACATTTATTGATTTCCGTATATTGAACCAGCCTTGCATCCCAGGGATGAATCCTACTTGATCATGGTGCACAATTTTTTTGATGTGTTTTTGTATCGGATTCGCCAGAATTTTATTGAGGATTTTTGCATCTAGGTTCATTACAGATATTGGTCTGTAGTTTTCTTTCTTTGAAGTGTCTTTGTCTGGTTTTGGAATCAGGGTGATGTTGGCCTCGAAGAATGAATTTGACAGAGCTCCCTCTTTTTCTATTTCCTGAAATAACTTGAAAAGTATTGGTATTAGTTCTTCTTTAAAGGTTTTGTAAAACTCTGCTGTATACCCATCCAGTCCTGGGCTTTTCTTGGTTGGTAGTCTTTTGATGGCTTCTTCTATTTCCTCCATTGATATTGGTCTGTTTAAGTTGTGTGTATCCTCCTGACTCAATCTGGGCAAATCATATGACTTAAGAAATTTATCGATGTCTTCACTATCTTCTATTTTATTGGAATATAGGGTTTCAAAATAATTTCTAATTATCTTCTGTATTTCTGTAGTGTCTGTTGTGATATTGCCTTTTTCATCCCATATGTTAGTAATTTGAGTTCTCTCTCTTCTTCTCTTCATTAGCATGGCTAAGGGTCTGTCGATCTTATTTATTTTTTCGAAAAACCAACTTTTAGTTTTGTCAATTTTTTAAATAGTTTCTTTTGTTTTATTATTGATATTCTTGATGACTGCCATTCTGCCTGGTATAGATGAAATCTTAATGTAGTTTTGATTTACATTTCCCAAATTGCTAATGATGTTAAACATTTTTTAAGTTTTTGTTGATCGTTTGTATTTCTTCTTTTGAGAAGTGTCTGTTTAATTCATTTTCCTATTTATTCATTGCATTATGTGATTTTTTTCAGTGTATTTTTAGCTCTTTATATATTCTAGATATTAATCCTCTATCAGAAGAGTAGCTAGCAAAGATAATCTCCTATTCTATGGGTTCTCTCTTCACATTCCTAATTGTTTCCTTTCCTGTGCAAAAGTTTTTAATTTGGTGCTGTCCCATTTATTATCTCTGGTATTATTTCCTGATCTGTAGGAGTCCTATTGAGAAAGCCATTGCCTATACCACAAAGCTGGAGTGTGACCCAACATTGTCTTCTAGGAGTTGCATGGTTTCTGGTCTAATTCTAAGGTCTTTGATTCACTTTAAGTTGACTTTTGTGGAAGGTGAGAGATAAGGGTCTAGTTTTGTTCTTCTATGTCAGGAGCTGCCACAT